CAAATTTGTATCTTTTCCCTAAAATGAACAATATCCATTAGTATAATAGCCTTCAGGAAATTCCGTGAGTCTTTCTAGTAAATTATCAAATCTGGGGGTGGTTTTGAGAAACCCCTAAACTTACAGTTGATGTCAGAAGTGAGGGTGGTCTTGTGTGGACTCTTCCCTCTTTGTAGTTGGACCCTAACTCCTTGTACCTGGGGCCAGAAGTCTTGGACAGACTTGGTGGTCTGGGGGATTGTGCCTTTAACCTCACAGTTTGGCTAACTCTGGGAAAAGAGTAAAAATGTTTAAGTAGTAGGTGACAGACAATCTACATAATCTAGATTCTAGAGAAATCACTTTGGCTATACTGGGGAGACTGTATTAGAGAAGAGTAAGACTGGCAAAAGAGGACAATGACAGTGGGAAGGGAGAGGGACAGATCTATGAGATATTTACAAGGCAAAATTGATTGAATTAGAGGGGTGAGAGAAAGAGAAATCAGGAATGGACCCACCAGAAAGAGAATCAGGTTTTAGTTTTGCTTATTTTGGAGGAGACAGAGGGAATTGGAAGATTGAATTGGGTGCTGATCAGTTTGAGAAGCCTTTTAGATATTTAGGTAAAGCTGTTCCATTAGCAGTCAAAGCAGAGATGGAGATAGAGTTGGGAACCATTAGCATAATAACAAATAACCAAAGTCATGGGAGAAATTGATATTGACTACAAACAAATAAGTCACCAGAGTTGAAAAGGCTAGGCTAAGGATGAAACATCAATATTAAAGGGACAGTTAGAGTACTAAAAATTCACAGAAAAGCAGCAGCCTGAGAGGCAGGAATAAAACCTGAAAACTATGGTTAACAATGAATGCTTGAAATTTTTTTCTTCTTTATGCTAATGAAAATTTTCTCCACTTCTTATAGCAAACATTACTTCTTAATAAGAAAAAAGAGTGTAGTTTTAAACGAATAATACTTTAAAACTTGCATCCATCTATTTTTCTATTTATATATGTAAAAGTGAGACAACGTTTAATCATTCTCTGACCTATCTCAAACTTATTAATGATTCACGTAATTCAATGTTACTGAATTATTAGTGTCTAAAACCAAAGATTTTCTTTTCCAAGCAATTTTAAAAGTGCCTCCCTCCCCTCATTACTATCTGGAACTACTTAACTTCACCAGGCTGCTGGAATATCTGTCTCCCCCTCAAGAAGACCAACCAAGACTAAATGAATAACTAAGGAAACAATTGCTCTAAAAATGTAATGACATAAAACTCTAGTAAAGACTTCAGAGTATGTGTTTCTTCTGGATTAAAACAAATAGATTTATCCCCAGTACAGTGTAGACAAATAAAATACACAGTATTGACCCATGTAACCCATGCATGCAGCCTCATATTCACATTCTGCTATAAAATCAGTTATAAACTTTTATTTGCAAATTATTTCAAAGCTATAAAATATCTCATTTCCACCTTTTCAAAGAGATTCTCTCATTAACCTCAGAAATCCTAATACTATGTCACTAGAAAGTATTTATTTTAATCTCTTGGGGCACATTTAAGCTTAAAGTAAAACAGATCCTTTATACTAGCAGCTGAAGGTTCTAAATCATTGGAATTTTTTATTGACAAGAGATCAATTTAGTAAAACAGTTCTAAAATATTGCATGCATTTATTATTGATTCTTAATGTTTAATAAACTGAAAAAAAATGTTTAAATGGTCCTTAATTGGGGCACCTGGGAGGTTCAGTTGGTTAAGTGACTACCTTCGGCTCGGGTCATGATTCCAGGGTCTTGGGATTGAGCCCAAGGAATTGAGCCCCGGCATCGGGCTCCCTGATCAGCGGGAAGACTGCTTCTCCCTCTCCCATCCCCCCCCCCCCCGGCAACGTGCTCTCTGGCTCTATCTCTGTCAAATAAATAAAGTCTTTTAAAAACAATAATAATAAATAAATGGTCCTTAAGAAGGTATTTATAGTCCACAACAGAGGTCTTTCTCATCCAAGGAGATTTTTGCTGTTTTCAAATTGTTGTTCTCGTTCTTTCAAAATGTTACGTGTTTTTATCTAATAGAGAAATATCTAAGTACATATTTCCCATTTTGAATGCAAAATCTTTAACCCAAATACTACTCTGAAAAATTTTTAAGTTGCTAATAATAACTATATTTTGTCTGTTTAAACCTTGATCCTTTACTCATCTAATTAATTGCTTATCTCAAGTTAGTCCTGAATTTACCAAAATGAAGAATGTTAAATATACCTGCTGTTCCTATTATAAAATTCTTGAGAAGCAAAATATTGAGAAAAACATTCACTGTTTTAATTTTCAACCAGTGTATACATAAAACGGTAATCAGAAGATAAGCACCTTTACTTCTTTTCTTCAGAGAATGTTTGTTTGGCAGCTACATATTGTATATTTCTAAAATCCTGACAGAAAACACACAGTACAGACTTATAAAACTGGTATTAAATGCAGTGTTATTTTCTTCTTACACTAGTCCCAATTATCAAATTGGTGAATATATAGTTCAGGTAGCCCTATTTAAGAATTTCAGCACCATTTGATAAGCATGACAGAGTTTTTAAAGTATATTACAAATTCCCAAAATGAAGACTGAGTGGTTATTTGAGAAAATATTTTGGGGGGAAAAACGTCACCTTCCCCAAATAAGCAATTTCACCATATTTCTAATCAGAATTATTTCAAAGTATTTCCTAGGAAATTTGAGGACCCATCATTTCAAATATGTAAAGGAGAATTTTGCAGTTCAGAGATTATTTTGAGAAATGTCAGAATTCCTTGTACATAATTTGTCATTTCTGAATTTAGATCCACTTTTCTCATCTGTAAAATAAAGTGCTTAGACAGAAAACTGATTTACCTCTACAGTGTCTTCCAGTATTGACTCTGGTGACTGATACTTTTTTATAAATAAATATAATTAAAAGTGTTAATTTAAAAGTATATTTTTTTACACAATGAAGGTTTTCTTTGTTTTTAATCTGTTAAGGATCTTAAAGATACTTTACATAAACAAGCCAGCCATTTTATATCTGAATAAAAATAGGTTAATAGTTTTGCACAAAACACAGTAAAAATGATGAAATCTCTGATTTAAGGTGAAATAATATTTTCTAACTTCACTAGTTTTACTTCAAATCCAAACTTCTGTTCTCAAATGGCCATTTTATCATTTGAATTTTTTTTCTAGTTTTATGCATATTGAAATTAATCTTGCTTCCTTTCCATATGGAAAAACACATCTACTTACCATCTCATCATCTTTCTATAGATTCCATTTTTAAAAAAACCTTCCTGAATGACAAATGTTCATGGTTTTTCTAAACTAATGACTCTCCTTTTAATGAACCTTCTCTAAGGTTTAAATGTGTGCTTCTTTGTCACTGCATTTTAAAGGTAAGAACTGTCAAAATAGAATTAGTTTGATGCTGACATAAATTCCTTTACTTTGGTAAACATTTCCATTTTATTTTAAACAGGAAGTTTTAAGTGTCTTTCTTTAGTGTTTAAAAATGACATTTCATAAGCCCTTTGTGAGTTTACAAACACTAGGAAGAAATACACTAAAATGTTAATACTGTTTATCCCTGGTGGTGGTATAACACGCCATTTTATTTTTTATATTTCCCAGAAAGCATTATTACTCTGGTAATCGGATAGTATTTCAAAATTAAATTTTAAATAGCTTATAAAGTATAGGACATCAACACAGTCCACTTCTCCAGCAGATAGGTTAAATGCTTTTCCCCTATCGATAAGCTTCTGCTTTAACAGAAGAATGATTTGATCCGGTGTCTGTCAGGTTGGATGAAGACCTGACATTTACTTTCCAGGGCCTTCTTTTAAGTTAGGCTTTGAATTTAATTGCAGTGAATCTTGCAGCAGTAAACTTTTTGGGGGACCAGAGTAACATCTTTCAATACAACTATCAGCAGAATGCCAAGAGACTCTCAGGTTTACCAATGTTTTCAGAGACTTGTCAGTATTCTCCTCTGTCATTTCAGAACAATTCCATTTAAAAAGAAACGCAATTGTAAACCGTTTCTATTTCAAGCCCATAAAAACCAGAACTGGGATGAAAGGCAAAGCCTTGACCTTTCTATTTTCGACTTTCATCTGGGTGGCTAAGCCATCTGCTTTCTCTCCCCTACCCCATCTACTTAATGGATTCAAAATACTGCATCTAATTGCAATTTTATCAAACCAGCCTGACTTTTCCACTTTAACGAATTACGACTCTGTCTTTCACCTGAAGACTTGCTCGTAAAAATGTGCTTACCTTCCCTCTCAATTCCTTCCCATCTCCCTCAATTATGAGTTATCAAATATCTTTAAGATACGCGGCTTCGGTGGATTAAGCCATCTAAAGACCTCTTCACTTTCAACACCGAGCGCCTGAAGGAAAATCTACTCCAGTCTCTCCTCCTGTGGCTATAAGGCCGGTATTATTATCATTGTTGTTGCGGTTTTACACAGGAGGCACCTCGCAGCTCTGCCTAGAAAGGAGTCGCGTCTCTCCGCCGCCAAACAACAGGGGACTCAGACTGGGAAAAGACAGACCCGGGTGGGAGGAAACCTCCAAGAGGAAGAAGGGAGCTGGTAAGAAGAGGGAGCTCGTAAGACTGGAAGAGAGGACCTTCCGAAGCACGAAGGGAAAAGGGTGTTTGTGAAGTGGAACAAGAAGTGGGCGGCCAAGGTGCAACGAACGCTAAGAAGGGGCCGGGGCCGGCGGGAGGGCGCCGGGGGCGGCTCCCGGGTCAGGCTGGAGGCGCCGGGGCCGAGGCGGGCGTGGGCAGCTCGCAGCGACCGCCCGAGTCGGAGCAGCTAGGGCGCTTCCAAGGGCGCGAGGCGCGGGTGAGGGGGTAAAGAGAGCTGGTGAGGGGGTAAAGAGAGCAGTTGAGGGGCCGAGAGAGCCGCGTCGAGGCCGGCGCGGCGGGGTCAGCGGGCCCACCCCCCAGCCAAGCCCCGCTACTTAACTATTTGTAGAGCTGCTGCAGGCACAGGTCCAGGCTCTCGCCCTCCACCTCCTCACGGGTGATGCGCTCCGACAGCGGCCGCGGGAGCGGGGGCAGAGGCGGCAGCTGGGGCTGCGGCGGCGGCGGCTGCACGGCCGACTGCCCCCGGGCTGCCGCCGCCTCCTCCTCCTCGACCTCCGCCGCCGCCACCGCCTCTTCCTCCACCGCCTCCTCTTCGGGCTCGGGGTCTTGCTCCTGCTCTTGCTCCCCCTCCTCCGTCGCGGCTACAGTGGCCACCTCCTCGCCGGGGTCCTCGACCGAAGCCTCGGCCGCCTCAGCCGCTACCAGTTCGGGCTCGGGCTCCGACTCGGGTTCGGGTTCCGGCTCAGGCTCGCCGCCGCCGCACGGTCCGCGAAACTCGCCCAGGAATAGCTCCAGGAAGCGCCGGTAAGTTTTCTCCTCAGGGCTGCAGCCAGCCATCGTTGCTCATGCCCCGGGGCCGACCGGGAAGTGGGGCGGGGGGAGTCCAGGAAGGGGAGGGGGCTGCTCTCGATCCTCCGGCTTCCGCAAAGGCTGTTAACCGCCGCACCTGCGAGAGCGATCAGCACTAGGTTGCCTGGAGAGGGCTCCCGCAGGCGTGCGCGCCGCCGAGCGCGGACGTGCGCGGCCCGGGGGCGGGGGCGGAGCGCGCCGCCCCCTCCCCGGTCTGGAGGGAAAGTTGGTGGCGGGCGCGCGCGCAGGGTCCAGCGGCGGCCCACCCTCCAGCCCTCCGGAGAGCTCAGCCCACGCTGCCTAGAGACTGTCGCCATGGCAACCGGCTCTAATTAAGAATTTCAGGGTCCCTACCGTCGAGCCCGCGCAGTCGAAAGGACACTCGACTCGCCCGCTCTCCAACTCTGCATATCTTTATTGTAAGGATACCCTATCCTCGAGTGGTTAAGAGTGAACTAAGACATCTCCAAGTCTAGCTGTTGGTTCCCACTTGGATTGGATTTACCTGTTTTCCTTATCTGTCCCTGCGTTGCCTTAGCGTAGGTATCTGTTGAAAGGGACCACAGTGTCAACATCTTTTGTTGTTGATGACACTAATTTAATAAGTAGTTTGGGGGAAAGGGGTTTCAAACACCTTTCAAGTGGTAGTAGGTTCCTTTGCATATATTCTCTCATTTGATTCAGTGAAGAAAGTGGTGTTATCCTCATTTCTCAAAGACAGGAAACAAGATTAATATATATCTGCTTCAAGGTTTCAAATCTACTAGCCATGGCACTGTAATTTGAACCCAGGTTGTCAGCCTCCAAAGCCTTCTAGAACCTTTTCCTTTACTCTTCTTTGCTTCTGCAATAGGTCTATAAAGCTTTATTTTTATAGGGCTTTATAGTTCACAAGTTGTTTTCATACTTTTAGTGCTTACAATAACGTCTCAAGGTAGAAGACATCATTCTCATGATTCCATTTTATAGATGAGAAAACTGAGCCATGAAGATATGGTGACTTTGCTCAAGGTCACACACAAGCGATACAACAAGCACTAAAATCCAGGTCTTTTCACTGCAAAGCCATTAGTTTTCCAGCATTCCAAGACACCCCTCTGTAGTCTTTGCATAATACATATTATACTTTATTACACAATACGTACGTTTTGTACATTTTCTTTGCTCTTCTTCCCCATCCCTCGAGCCTCTCTTCTTTCTTTCTTAGATTGAAACTGAAACTACTTTAAATTATCCTAATTTTCTTACCAAACTACACACAAACCTATTATTTTCAAGCCTTACTGAGGGGGGTGGGAGAAGGAGAAGCTGTGGTTGTTATACAGCTGTACAGATGATAGCATCATTACTGCATACTGCCATGTCCATGGCAACATATAATTCAGCAAAAACATAGTGATTCTTTCTCTACTTTGAAAAACATGTTCACAAATTATCCACCCCATCCTCTCCATTTATTGTTTCTGGGTTTTAGTTAGATTTAGGGTCTGAAATACCATTTCTAGTTGGCTATTAATGGAAGAAGAAGGAGTCTCCCTGCCAACTGTTTTCATATAATACTGTATTCTAAATCCCTGACCTGATACTGTTATTTTAAGATTAAGTGGGTTGAGCTCACTAATGTACATTATGGCATCATGTAAAATAGACATCCATTCTTTCTCCTAGTTCAAGATTAAATAATACATGATGGAAAGCATATAGTGAGTAATGCACATAAGTCTTCTATAACTATTTATTTTTATCTCAGAGGTAAATGGAAAGACCCAATAAATAAGTCTGTTTCCAGACAAGCTAAATGTATTTATACGTGTTTTGTTTAAAATATCACCACTGTAGAACAACTTTTCTATGAGATGCCAAGGAAGCCTTTAAACTCCTCATTTGTCTTTGTTTTCAATCCACCTGTTCATTTCCATTTCAGAATGTCTAGAAAAGATTGACAAAACTTTTAAAGTTGCAAACCCAAATGTCCACAACTTTACAACTGTTTAAAATCTCAGAATTTAACATAATGTCATTTAGTTCAAGAGTACATAGCTTTCAACTATAACAATTCATATCAAGCTACACCTTCCTACTTTGTAATGTAGTTGCCTCCCTCATCTAGATGACATTTGTGACATTAATTTATGACTCAACTCACATATCAAAGGGAAGTGTTATGTGTTGGAGACACATTACTACTAAGAGTAAAAGAAAAAGCCCACACCTCTATATTACTATAAATGAGAGGTGTGTTTGCTTATATTAATAAAGATATTCCTTCACGAATATGGATCCTATTGCATTTATTTGACAGAGTAGCTTTGCCAGAAGGTTGCTGACAGCAGTGCTGGGATCTCAGAGCAGCTGTGTAGGATGATTTTGCCTTTGTCAAGAAGTCTTTTTAGTCATTATTTTGCATTGCTTTACTTTCCTTTTCAATTCCTTTTCTCCTACACTTTCCTAATCCCCTTTCTTACTATCTATTAAAAAAATAGTGAGCTATGAAAGTGCATGTACCAAGGGTACTTAAATTTTTTGAGTTTTTTTCTTCATAATAATTGTTCTCCTTCTAACCCTTAGCTCTTTGGAGGAAATACACAATGTCCTTTCATGGACATTCACAGTAATGATGATATCTATAAAATTAAAAAGAATTGTTGAGGGGCGCCTGGGTGGCTCAGTCAGTTAAGCGTCTGTCTTCGGCTCAGGTCGTGATCCCAGGGTCCTGGGATGGAGCACTACGACGACGGGCTCCCTGCTCAGCCGGGAGCCTGCTTCTCTGCTCCTCCCCTTTGCTCATGCTTGTGCTCTCTCTCTGTCTGAAATAAATAAATAAAATCTTTAAAAAAAAAACTGTTGAGTTTGGCAGTTTCTTATCATATGACCCAGGAATTCCTCTGACAAATATTTACCCACAAGAAATGAAAACATGCCCACCAAATACACATACTCACCATAAAAACCTTGTACATAAATGTTCACAAGTTTTAGTCATAATAGCTCAAACTTGGAAATAACCCAGATATCCATTAATAGGTGAATGAATAAACAAATTGTGGTATATTCATACAATAGACTACTACTCAGTAGTAAAAAGAAATTACTGATAAACACAATGAAGATGAATCTCAAAAACATGCTGAGTGAAAACAAAATCCAGGGGCACCTGGGTGGCTCAGTTGTTAAGCCTCTGCCTTTGGCTCAGGTCATGGTCCCAGGGTCCTGGGATCGAGTCCCACATTGGGCTCCCTGCTCTGCGGGAAGCCTGCTTCTCCCTCTCCCACTCCCCCTGCTTGTGTTCCTTCTCTCACTGTGTCTCTCTCTGTCAAATAAATAAATAAAATCTTAAAAAAAAAAAAATCCAGGCACAAAAGAATACATACTATATGATTCCTTTTACATGAAATTCTAGAACAGACAAAAGTAATCTATGGTGGTTGCTTGCAACTGAGGTGGGGTGGGAGATTCATGGCAAAGGAGTAAAAAGGAACTTGGAGGGGGTGGGGGATTAAAATGCTTTATATTGGGGTGACTGGGTGGCTCAGTTGTTGTCTGCCTTCAGCTCAGGTCATGATCCCAGGGTGCTGGGATCGAGCCCCGCATCGGGCTCCCTGCTTGGTGGGAAGCCTGCTTCTCCCTCTCCCACTCTCCCTGCTTGTGTTCCCTCTCTCGCTGTGTCTCTTTCTGTCAAATAAATAAATAAAATCTTTTTAAAAAATAAAAAAATGTTCTATATCTTGACTGGGTGGTCACATATGTATATTCATTTGTCAAAAATTATTAAAGCAGGGCACCTGGGTGGCTCAGTTAGTTAAGCGTCTATTTATTTATTTATTTATTTGAGAGAGTGTGGGGGTAGGGGGCAGAGGGAGAGAGAGAATCCTCAAGCAGACTCTCCACTGAGCATGGAGCCCATTACGGGGCTCAATCCCAGGACCCTGAGATCTTGACCTGAGCTGGAATCAAGAGTCTGACACTTAACCAACTGAGCCACCCAGGCACCCCAAGTGTCTGACTCTTGATCTCAGCTCAGGTCTTGATCTGAAGGTTGTGAGTTCAAGCCCCATGTTGGGCTCCATGCCTAATAAAAAAAAAATTATTAAAATGTACATTTAATGTAACAGTATCATAAGTAAATTATACTCAATAAAGTTGATTTTAAAAGTTAAACCTGGGTGGCTCCGTTGGTTAAGCATCTGCCTTCGGCTCAGGTCATTACCCTGGAGTCCCGGGATGGAGCCCCTGTATCAGGCTCCCTGCTCAGCAGGGAGTCGGCTTCTCCCTCTCCCTCTGCTCCTCCCCCACTCGTGCTCCCTCCCTCTCTCTGGCTCTCTCTCAAATAAATAAATAAAATCTTAAAAAAAAAAAAAGTTAAACAGAATTGATTAATGTGTTAGTCCCTGTCCTTTTTCTCCTTGTATCACTCCCTCTACCCCCTTCGCTCTGTATTGTAGGGAGGCTAAACCTTTCAGGTTATATTCACCAGGTTCCTTGACAGTTGACTTCCAGCTGAAATTTGCTCAGTGGGAGGCATTGGCAGGAAATTGAAAGATGGGAGGAGAGGTGAAAACCAGGATGTTTATTCCCTGACCCTTATCTCAGTTCTAATGTCTGCTGCATCTCCTTGGTAACTTTGCTCCCCCAGAACATGTCTATTGAAATTCCAAATTTTACCTATGACATCAGTCTCTGCGCTCCAGAAACACCATCTTCCTCCACTTGTCCATCAGCCTAGAGATGGTAGTGGCTTCTAGCTTCCTAATCTTACCTGCTATGGACTATTTGTGTTCCCCCAAAATTCATATGTCGAAATCCTAACACCCAAGGTGACGGTATTAGTAGGTGGGGCCTTTGGGAGGTGATTAGGTCATGAGGGCTTGGTCATAAGATTAGTGTTCTTAAAAAAGGGGCTCAAGAGAGACCCTTCTCCCTTTCTACCACTTGAGGACACAGTAAAAAGATGGCTTTCTGTAACCGGACACTGAATCTGCCAGAACCCTGATCTTAGAACTTCCAGCCTCCAGAACTGTGAGAAATATGTGTTTGTTGATTATAAGCCACCCAGTTTATGATATTTTGTTATAGCAGCCCAAAGAAGACTGTTTTACCTTCCCTTTTTACTTTTCAGC